TTGTTCAGGATAGATGCCTAGAAGTGGTATGACTGGGTCATAAGGGAGGTCAATCTTTAGCTTTCTGAGGACCCTCCAGACTGCTTTCCAAAGTGGTTGTATAAGTGTACATTCCCACCAGCAATGTAATAGGGTTCCTCTTTCTCCACAGCCCCTCCAGCACTTTTTGTTGGCTGACTTGTGGATGTGGGTAAGGTGGTAAGGTGGTATCTCAGGGTTGTCTTTATTTGCATTTCCTTCACAACCAGGGAGGGTGAACATTTCCTCATGAGTTTATTTGCCATTTTTATCTCTTCTTCTGAGAAGTCTGTCTTTAGTTCCCTTGCCCATTTAGTAATTGGTTTGTTAGGTTTGGGAGAAATTAGTTTCTTGATTTCCCTGTATATACTGAATATTAACCCCTTGTCTGATATACTGCTGGTAAATAGTTTTTCCCAATTAGTTGGTTGTCTTTCTAGCTTGGTTGCTATAGCTTTAGCTGTGCAGAAACTTTTTATTTTAAGGTAGTCTCATTTGTCGAGTCTCTCTCCAATTTGTTGTGACCCTGGGACTCTGTTCAGGAAGTTCCTGCCTGTGCCTATAAGTTCAAGTGTCTCTCCTACTCTGTCCTGCAATAGTTTCAGAGATTCAGGTTTGATGTTAAGGTCTTTAATCCATTTTGAGTTGATGCTGGTGCATGGTGATAGGCTGGGGTCCACTTTTAGTTTTCTGCACGTGGCCTCCCAGTTTTCCCAGAACCAGTGGTTGAAGCGGCTGTGTTTCTTCCATTGTATGTCTTTGGTTCCTTTGTCAAATACCAGCTGACTGTAGGTATGTGGTTTTATTTCTGGATCTTCTATTCTATTCCATTGGTCTTCAGGTCTGTTTTGTGCCAGTACCATGCTGTCTTTGTTATTATGGCTCTATAGTAGAGTTTGAAGTTCAGCATCAAGATCCCTCTCATGTTGTCTTTTTTTCCTAGAATTGTTTTGGCTATTCTAGGTCTTTTGTTGTTCTATATGAATTTTTGGACTGTTTTCTTTATTTCAGAAATGTACAGCATTGGGATTTTAATAGGAATTGCATTGAATTTTATAAATTAATTTTGGCAGTATTGCCATTTTCATTATATTAAGTCTGCCTATCCAAGAGCATGGAAGGTCTTTCCATTTCCTAGTGTCTTCTGTAATTTCTTTCTTTAACTTTTTATAGTTTTCATTAAATAGTTCTTTTACATCTTTGGTTAGGTTAATTCCTAAATATTTTATTTTGGGGGAGGTTATTGTGAATGGGGTTGCTCCCTTTATTTCCCTCTCTGCTTGTACATTGTCAGTGTACAGGAAGACGACTGATTTTTGTGGGTTGATTTTGTATCCTGCTACTTTGCCGAAGTGATTTATAATTTCTAAGAGTTTGGGGATGGAGTTTGGGGGATCATGAAGGTATAGTATCATGTCATCTGCAAAAAGGGATAGTTTAACTTCTTCTCTCCCTATGCGGATCCCTTTAATGTCTTTTTCTTGCAGAAGGTATTTCTTTACTGATGTAGGTACTTCCTAAATGATGTTGAGGCCAGGTTGAAGGTTAAGTAGAACCTGGTGCTCTTTATATGGAACCAGCCTGGCCTAGCTGCAAGGCATGTCAGGTCCTTCTCTTTCTTGTGCATCCCCAGGAATTCACTGCCCACTCCAATACCTTCCCACTCTTTGTAAGTTACTTCTGTGTGTTCACCAGTACTTCCCTCAGCACTGTATTTAAACTAGCTGATGGTCTCAGTATGCCTTCTTGATCTCCTTTGCCTAGATTCATGGCATTTGCCATCTTAAAAGCCAATGGTACCCCACAAGCTGTCATGAAAACAATGGAAATCCTCAAGACCCCCACATTATACTTCAACATCTCATTCTTCTGCCTCTGTCCAGCAATATTCTTTTTATTCATAATCTACTTTGAAGAGAGAAAAGAAATTTGACCCTGAATTCAAAGACTTCTCCCTAATTTTTTCACCCAAAGATCTACAGTATGTGTCCAATTATGACCACCTTCTACAGTTACAATTTATGTAACATGTTATGATAATTCCCACACCAGCTAGACAAGCATAACATTCAACAAAACCACTATGGATTCCCTTCAGGCATATTAGTAGAAATGCGCTGATGTTTACAGCTGGCTCAAAGTATAAATCCTCTAGGCCCCTTGCAAGAAGCATCATTGTCAGTAAAAGGCTCCCTCCACCAGGGAAGTTTCTTTGCAATCAACTCAGGGTCAAGTGCTCCTTCCAGTTCTTTTGGCTGCTGTCCCAAAATCAAAATTCATCCCAGAGTTCAGGCTAACGTTTGCTACTGGTAATTCTGCTGCAAGGATTTGGGGAAAACTTAGGGGATTGCTACAGGGAACTAGTGACCTTCTAAGAAAGGACAGGAAACCAAATAGTGATTGAACTGACAAGTTCATTCAAGCTCTGTGCAGAAATGTCTGCCCAGAAAAACCTAAGAGAAAGTTCTGTCACATCAGCTACTTGGCATTTGCTGCCTGACTTCAGTCCATTGAATGTTTCTGAAATTAGTCCCATTATGTGACTTTACAAACACAAAATGAACTGAGTTCACTCATCCAAACAGGTGTTCTGCAGAGATTTAACCACAAAAGTTAGGGTCAGAGAGATGTCATAAACTTCTTCCTTCCATTTCCAAGATGATTTGTTTCCTATAGGAACTAATATGGGACATGGTGAAGATACTCACAAGGACATAGCATCACACTCCTGCAGCTTAGGGGAATAGTCTAGACCAAGCCCAAATGAGGAATTCCCACCATACCTTTCATTTCTTTCATTATTCATTTACATAGTTATTTCTTTCTACTGAACTTTCTCCATACAGCTTAGGAATGGCTTATTTCAAGGATATTTATGTGAAACACTTCATTTCTTCTTTGAAGTTTATTGTTTTGAAGAGATAGCATCTGCTCTGTTATTGGCATCTCATTTTTATTATTAGAATAACACCATTGGACTTGCTTCTAGAGTGAGGACCAGTCTCTCCCCAGTATTCTGTAACTGCATTGTATTCATTGAAAGTGAAATGCCATCAACCTTGCAGGCTGACTTCCTTGTGGCTTCTTAACCTTTTTTTTTTTTTTTGGTCAGTCATGGGGCTTGAACTCTGGGCTTGGGTGCTGTCCCTGCACTCTTCAGCTCAAGGAGAGCACTCTACTGCTTGAGCCACAGCGCCACTTCCAGTTTTCTAGTGGTTTATTAGAGATAAGAGTCTCACAGACTTTTTCCTGCCTGGGCTGGCTTTGAACTTCGATCCTCAGATCTCAGCCTCCTGAGTAGCTAGGATTACAGGCGTGAGCCACCAGCACCTGGCCTTTCTTAACCTTTTAAGGAAGTATGCTCCTGAACATTTTGGCAGGACTCAGGTGACTGTAAACAGCTCTCCCACATATTGACTGTCTATAAGTTAAGAACCACAAAAAAGATGTCTTTTAATAGTACTGTAACCTGTTTAACTCCTGTCTTCTAAGTAGCCAAGGGAAGCGTATTTCTATTTTTATCTGACCTTTGGGATTTTCTACTGTCTGTCAGTTTAAAGTCTGAGGGAAGCCAACAGAGAAAATTAACAGCTAGCTAGAAAAAGAAAGGTATTATTATGACTAAAATTAACTATGCCAGAGAGGAAAGGGCTAGCCAAACTCATTGGATTACAGAATCAATCCTTTACCCCAGTGGCTGTCTCAAGGTAACTGGAATGTTTTTGTAATCTAATTCTGTAAGATTAGACTCTCATATCTACTTCCTAATCATTCACTCCTTTTGCTGGGGAAAAAAAACAAAGGTATCTATAGCTTTTACACAAAATTGATAACATTTTTGGCTTAAGCCCTGAAACTGTGACATAATGTATTACAGTATGATATCTCAGCCTAGGGTTATAAATATTGTCTGTTACGACCAGCATATATTTAATAGAGACAGCTGTATCTAATATGATAAGAGTAGTACAAGGCAGCTGTGTGCTGGTGGTTCATACCTGTAATCCTAGCTACTCAGGAAGCTAAGATCTGAGGGTTGAGATTCAAAGCCAGCCCAAGCAGAAGAATCTGTGATACTCTTATCTCCAATTAACTACCAAAAAGCCAAAAGTAGAGCTGTTGCTAAAAGTGGTAGAGTGCTATCCCTGAGCAAAAAAGCTCAGGACAATACCTAGGCCCTGAGTTAAGCCCTATGACAGACAAAAAAAAGTAGTACAAGGCTTAGAGCCATAGTTAATAAAGCACACAAAAGTAGCACAAAGTTACTCAGGAAAGTTAAAAAGGTTTTCAATAATGGGTCTTAGTACATAAAATGATACTTGTATAATATAATCCTGTGGTTAGAGTATAACCTACGCATTCCTGGACTCCTATTCACAATTTGTTTGTATCAATACGGGGCTTGAACTCTTGTTTGGCTTTTGCCTCTCAAGCCTGATGCTCTATCACTTAAGCCATAACTCTACTTCTGGGTTTTTGCTGGTTGATTGGAGATAAGAGACTCTTGGATTTGTCTGCCACAGCTGGCTTTGAACTGAGATCCTTTCTTCTCTTTTGACAACCTAGGATTGTAGGCATAAGCTACTAGTGCCCAGCACAACACTTTAATGATTAAGATGATCCCGAGTTAGAAAAGGACAGTTCTGTTTGGGGATTTTGTTATTACAGTAAAGAACTAATAACAGTTCCTAGAGTCATGGTCCTTACAGCCATGCTTCTCTTGGGCATCTTGTTACAAGGCTGGTTCTGGTTCAGCCATTCATGAATGGACCAGAAAGTCTGTTTGAAACAGTGCTCAGGTGATGACAAAGCTTCTTGGCCCTTGACCCACATTTTGAGTAGGAAGACTGTATCTCATGACCAACATGGTACTGAAAAGAGACTATACTGCACTCAGTTAGAACATCGGTGTCTTCACTCACATCCATCTAACGGTAGTAACCTACTTGAGTTTCTCTCGGTCTTGTGGCACTTACCTTGTCTGTGAACCCAATAATCCTGAAGCAATGCTGAATGGCTTCAAACTGTCTTCTGTAAGACTCCTTGGAAGTTATGTCCTGCATGACTCTTCCCGTTTCATCAGCTATATACCTAAATGAAGTGGAAAAGGACCAAGCACAATGAGTGTTCACTTGGAACCCAGAACCTGATACACCACGGCAGGTGACACTTGGGTTCCCTCTTTGCAAGGATATTTCCTTCACAGTCTAATATTGGGGGTGAGGGATGGGGATGGGAATGAAGGTACACGTAGAGGAAGAAAAGGGTTACAGGTGAGCTGATACGAATTGTGTGTGTTTATATGTGCATGTGCATGTGCCAATACTTGAACTCATTGCCTAGAGCTCTCGCTTTTTCCACTCAAGCCTAATGCTCTACCATTTGAGCCACACCCACTTTTGTTTTTTTGCTATATAATTGAAGATAAGAGTTTCGTGGACTTTTCTGCCCAGGCTGGCTTTGAACTTGGGATCCTTAGATCTCAGCCTCCTGAGGACTTCACAGGTGTGAGCCATTGCACCCAGCTGCAGTAGAGTTTTTGATCCTCCTAGAAAATGCAAATGGTTTAGATGTGGTTTCTACCACCTTATCTTGCATATTTAAGTTAAATAGACTGTGAGTTTCCTGATAGGAAAACAGCTCCATTTACTTTCAAATTTGTCAACTGCTAATTGCACATTCATTCAAAATTAACAAGCAAAGCCCCTGGGCAAGCGGGTTTAACACAAAACTTACTTAGGAGGTTTTTCCTCAGGAAGTCGCAACTCTGAAAGTTTCTTCTGGTGATAAAGACCAGCATAAATATAGTAAAATATGTGAAAATTTTTCTCTCCCCTAAAAAAAAGGAAGAAATTTTATAAATACCATGTTCTGAGTTTCCCCAGAAATTGTGTCAGTAAGTAACATCATTCAATAGCAGATTTGCACATTCAGGCAATTAAATGCTTTGTTACATTTACAGAAGAGTTATTAAGAATGATAGAATTAGAATAGTAACTGTCACAATCCTGTATTACTAAACAGTTACCTTCACTGTAAGCAGGAGTGTTAGAGAATAGAGCAGGTGGCAGTTTGTCCAGTGCTCCCAAACCTCTGTATTTGTGCATAGGACCTCTGTTTAAAGCCCCTGCTACTTCAGAAAGAGTGACTTCCAATTTGGAGCAAGCCCTCTGCTCTACTGGAGCCCCAGATAGGAATTGGGAGCAGTCTAGGGAGCAGAACTGCACCCCTACCTGAGGTCTGCCCTCTCCCAGTTTCATATGTTTTCAGGTACCATCCTGGCTACAGTTATTTCAGATAGGAGCTGGAAAGAGTTACAAACAGAAGGTGAAAGCAGCACTGCCAGCAGAGGAAGCAATATGTAGCCATCATCCACGTGGGTGGAAAGAAAGCCAGCGTGAAGAGGTGGGCAGGCAGCCGGGGCCAGCCCACACAAGCCTTGGAAAGCCAGAACAAGATGGGTTGATGAAGCAATTATAGTTCTCTAAAATGTTTGACGCAGACGCTGAGTGAGCTGAAAGTGTGACATAAACAGATTGTGATGAGGAAAATACAGACTGTCCAGTTCAGCATAAGACAGAAGGGAATAGCAATACAGATTCAAGGGATCCAACAGGAGGTCCAGGTGAGAAGCAAGTAGGTCTGAACAGTGGATGGAAGTGTTGATAGAGCAGGGAAGGCTTGGGTGTAGGTGTGTGTGTGTGTGTGTGTGTGTGTGTGTGTGTGTGTGTGTATGCGTGTGTGTGGGGAGGGGGCCTAGGCACTGTCACTTAGCTTTTTTTTTTTTTTTTTTACTCAAGGCTGGTGCCCTACCACTTGAGCCACAGTTCCAGTTCTGGTTACTAGAAATAAAACAATAACAGACTTTCCTGCCTAGGCTGGTCTTGAACCACAATCATCATATCTTTAGCCTGCTGAGGTAGCTTTGTTTACAGATGTGAGCCATTGCTACCTGATGACTTGCCCATATTTTATTGCAGATACCTCTTAATTCTTCCAAGTTTTTCCTGTTAATATTCATTTTTAGCCTATACCTGATTGTTAAAATAAAGGGTTCTCATATTCTCTCTCTGAAAAAAATCAACACATGGAATATTCTCACTACGTAAGGCTAGCACTTTCACTTAAGCCATCGCTCCACTTCTACCTTTTTATTGGTTAATCGGAGGCAAGAGTCTCATAGACGTTCCTGTCTAGGCTGACTTTGGACTGAAATCCTCAGATCTTAGCCTCCTGAATATCTAGGATTACAGCCACCAGCACCCAGCTTATAATTTCAGTTTTGAAGTAGCTAATGATTTTTTTAAAGCATATGTCATAATGCTTCTAGATTTTACCTGATAGGAAAGCATTCCCACTCTTAGCCCTTTGTATTCTGCCCCTTCACATATGTTTTGTAGGTTTTAAAACAACCAAGGACACTTTGCTTAAATAATTACTTGTTCTTGGCTGGGAACACGTAGGCAGGGCTAGCAGTAAGTAAAGAACAAGAATGAAAATGGAATGTTTAAACTCCTAAAGCCTCCAAGTTTGTATTGGAGAGCAAAGACAGAATGCTAAAGTGGTACACCTACTCTGCCTGCTTTATAACTCTGGACTTTTCCAGGAGATACTCAGAGATTCTTGCCCCCATCACGGCTCCAGTCGGTGTGAACATCATTTCCAGATACTTCCCAAACCGGCTGGAGTTGTCATTGATGGCAGTGCACGCGTTCCCAAAGGCTTCAACCAGAGAGTTCACTTGAAGAATCTTCTCTCGCAATGTCTGATTGTCCGCCTGGGTCAAACAGAGAATTAAGGAGACTCAGGAAAGTGATTTGCCCTTGCCTATCTAAGTTCACATGGTCCTTTCCCAAAGAGCTCCATTTTGGGGAAATTTGCATCAGCCACTAGCATCTTTTTCCCAAATGAGCAATTCACCAGGGAGACACGAAACAGGCTAGACTACCTTAGGCAGCAGTGGTTACAACCTGATGCACATCCTTTATAACCCCTAACAGGTCAAATGCTGAAGTTTGCAGTGGGATGCTGGTGTCCCCCACTTGTAACCCCAGCTACTCAGGAGGCTGAAATTTGAGAACCCTAGTTCAAAGCAGTCTGAACAGACAAATCTGAGACTCTTATCTTCAATTAACCAACAAAAAGCCAGAATTGCAGGTATGGTTCAAGTGGTAGAGAATCAGCCTTGAGCAAAATAACCAAGCAAGAATGTGAGGCCCTTAGTTCAAACCTCAGGAGAGACACACACATACAAAATAAAAGGCAAGCATTTGAAACCGATTTTATAGCATTTTTCTTAGGCATCCATTATAATGGTCAGTAAACCACCTCTATGAAAACATTCCTTAACTTCTTCTTGGGTCATACCATGGACCGATTCCAAGTAGAAGCAATTTCCAGACAAAATTTGCAGTCATTTCATCAACAATCATTTTACCAAGCTGAAAATTTCCATTTCGCTTAACTTTTGCTCAAAGCTTTTCATTTTCCATCTCCTTAATCATCACAGTGTCTCTCCCTGATGTTATGCACAGTGTTTAACCACTTTTACTATTTAATGGCTAAATGTTTCTATTATATTGAAAACATGAAAAATTAATTGCTGATAATCTGGTAAATTCGTGCTGGCATTATTTTCCTCACTACGTGAAGCAAGGGCCGCATGCTGGCATCTTAAGAGGTCTCACTATCAGGAGGCAAACATAAGAAAGATGGAAGGGCTTTGCAGAGCTCCTGTCACTAACACAGTCCTCTGTCATTTATAATACATGCAGATGCTCCACAGGAGCTTCTCGCCACAATACTGAAAGAGGGGTCGTCAATACCTTTCCCAAGAAAGTTAGATGTTGAACAATCAGGTGGGCGCTTTCTGTCTTCCCCGAGCCACTTTCTCCACTGATGACAATACACTGATACAAGAAACAGGGCAAGAAGTTAGGAGACAGAATAGCAATAGCTTTCATACAACAGGTACCCCCTTAATTTGTCCCTATGTCTCTATGCGGACATGGAGAGCTTCTTCAACCTGTGGTTTTGCTGCTTAGCATTCCCATGTATAAATAAATGCACCATTATGTATTTACTGGTGGATGGTTAGGGGATTTTTGTCATCACAAACAATATTACAGTGAACAATACTACAGATTGGTCATGCTGGTCATATACAGGTTTATGGTCCATGGAAATACATTCTGAGAAGGGATGTGGATGATGGAAAGTTAAAGCTATCATAAGGTTGGTAGACTTTCCTTGGCTAAGACTATAGCAATATGTGAAGTGACTGCTCTCCTACAGCCTCACCACACAGTGTGTTGTTTGCCAGTCTATACCTTAAGATATGGCATCTCAGGGCAGTTTTAGTCTAAACTCTTCTTATGAATGAGGTTGAGAATCTCATACATACTTTAAGTCATTCATACCTTCTTTTTAGTTGACCTAATTCTACCCTTTGCCTTGCATTGTTGACCTTTTTAATCATCTATGAAATTCTCTTATGCATAAGTGAGCTCTTGATGAAAAGAAGCTAGATGTGGAGTAATGAAAATTGTCTGTTTGGTCTTTGTCCTGACTTCTGGTACAAACTCCTAAAGTGTGCTGAAGTGACAGCAGCAGCCTTTGTGGTCCACAATGAGCCCTTCCCCCCACACCTTAGTTCCTGCTCATGAGGCTTTCCAAGAGGGAGCCCTGGACAACTTCAAGATGGAGATCTGACCAAATATGTGATTAGAGGTGAGGAATTTGAGCCTCAATTCCAGGGAGGGGAAAGAGGTTGTAGGCTGAATTAATAATAATATAAAAAACCCTGATGATATTTCATTCACAGTGCTGAGCAGGGACTGGGGAGGAAATACCCAGAAAAGGCATGGACCTCAGTGTCCATGAACCTGCCTTATGCATAGCCCTCATGGACGATCCTAGGTTGATCCTAGGTTGTACCCTTTACAGTTGCTAGTAAGATAATTGTTTTCTTCAGCTCTATGAATTGATCTAGTGAATTAGTCAATCTGACAGGTGTCAAGGGAACCCCTGAAGTTTGTATCAGGCTTGGCAGAGGTGGAGAAGGAAGCCTGGATCTGATTTGTGGGCATTGTGTGACCTCTTAACCTGAGGGCTCTGGGCTAATTGTATACAGAGATAGGATTGAATTATGGGGTGTCCAGTTAGTGTCAGAATTGGAGGTTAGTGTTAGAAAACATATTTGGGATGAGAAAATAAAAGAAAAGAGGAGAAGAGGAGAAAAGAGAAGATAGTAAGGCAAATTACTACATTGAAAACTACACTATCTCCTTCCATTTACTTCTTCCCTGGGTATTTATGGACATTTCACAAGTTTCCATAAGTAGTTCTACAGTGAACCCCTGTATTTCATTTTGATTTATTCTTCCATAAAAGTTTGGATTTCACAGATCTCAGATAATACACAGAGTGATTTTCTATAAAATTTGCATGCCAAATTAAATTGTCTCTATTGCAAAAGATTTTTTTAAAGAAAAAAACAATGTACCTACGGAAAGTAAAGGAGGGACCAAAGGTAGGATATGTCACCACTGTGAATTGGAAGTCTAGGAAAATGTACAAGTAAAATTTGTTTAATTAGCATTGACCTTAACCCAGCCTACAGATTCTCTGCAGCTAAACTGTGTGATGCAGGATCCATTGTAACCCAAGTGCAGTACATATAAAAATGATCAATTCTGAGCTGTTAATAGGAAGGAATTTCATTTATGCCATTCTATATCTTGTTTTTATTATAGCCATTACAATCTAATCAGGTCATGTTTGCTCCATCTTTTCATTATGCTCATATTAGGAATGTCTTTATGATATTTTATGAGAGAAAATGGGGGTTGAGGAAATCACATTTCTTGAAAAGCAGTTTTCTCCTTGTCCTGCTATGATGGCCCTGCACTGCAGTTTCAATTCCTCTTCCCCTGGGCCAACCTCAGCAACCAGAATAGCAAGGTTCTGGGAAGACTTAGAAGCTGAAGAAGATGAAGTGCAGCTTGCTGGGAGGCTTGCTAGGGAAAGAAGGCCAGTTCCCACCTGGTCTTTGCTGAAAGTCACCAAGCACTGGTAAGCAGCATCTGCCGAGGCAAATATGTGGGGCGGATTGGAAGCACGTTTCACCCCATGATAAAGCCTGGAAAACTGAAGAGGGAAAGGGATTAGCTAACTTAAAGGAATCCTCAAATGTTCCACAGGCTCATCCAGTACTTTCACCAAGGCTTTGTCATTCAGCAGGGGATATGAGACTGCAGGAAAACTCTGGAGCCTGCAGAGCTGAGTTCTAATCCTGGTTCTGCATGAGTAGCTTTGTGAGCTTGGTCAAAGGTACTGACTTCTCCGTATTCAGGCATCTGCTAACGTAGATCTACTAATATCTCTCTGATTCCCAGAGTTCTACAAAGGGACATAACCCAATGCCTGGCAATAGTAAGCACTCAAGACTCATTAGACATTATAGTAGCAGCTTACTTTAAAACATTACCCCTCCAAAAAAATAAATAATCCATTTGTGTTCAATTATTATCTGAAGTTTGGAGTAGAACACATAGTGTGGCATGATTTTGTCACCACTTTTCTTCTTTTTATTTGCATGTGGTTTTATTTTTTCTAGTACGGGGAGCAAACCCCAGGTGCTGTGCATGCTAGGCAAGTGCTCTACACTAAATTACATCCCTTGCCCAGTCCTTCCTTGCGATTTTATTTTTCCAGGAAAGAGCAATGTGTTCTCAGAACATCCCTCACCTGTGGAGAATAAATGCTTAGGCTCTGGAAGGGGTTCAAGGCAATTAGAATGTCCCCAACGTAGGTGTAAATCAGCGAGTCTATATAACGTTTTTGCAACTGATGAATAATTGTATCCTAAGAGGAGAAAAACAGCATTGAGAACAAATGTTAAATTCAATCATGGCAGAGGTCTAAAAATAACAACAGATTCATTCTTACAAAAATGTTTTTCTCTAAAAGACTAACATTGCCTATTCAAATCAATACATTCTCAATCACTAACATGAGATATTTGCCTTGAAAGAAAAATAATCGGAATATCCAAATAACGAGGATTTGCTAAACGATATTGAAATTACCAACAAAGAACTGTTTTGTAATCAGGGGTAAAAAAATGTCTCACCCACTTAAAATGTTTAATAGAATTCAACAGACCATTCTGACGCTAAAGACAATATGATCATTTCATTTATCAAAATATTGCATTTAAAATCTAGGAGGGAGTCAAGTGCTGGTGGTTCACACCTGTAATCCTAACTACTCTAGAGGCTGAGTTCTGAGGATCACAGTTCAAAGCCATCTCAGGTAGCAAAGTCCATGAAACTCTTATTTCTAATTAACTGTCAAAATGCCAAAAATTGCACTACTGTTCAAAGCACTAGCCTTGAGCAAAGAGCCCCCCCCCCACACACACAATCTAGGAGGAAGAAAGTATGGAATTGAACACTTTGAGATTCAGATATTAAAGAGTCCCCAGAATTTGACTCAGCAGAAGCAGGTCTAGCACAATTAATAAAGTTAAATGTTCATATTTTAAATGGGGGACTGGTTTTCAGATTTAGAATGTAAACTACATTAACTTCACAATTTCCATGAACAAAGCTCATTTTTTTGAGGGGGGGTCCAGTCATGGGGCCTGAACTCTGGGCCTGGGCGCTGTCCCTCAGCTCTTCAGCTCAAGGCTAGTGCTCTACTCCTTGAGCCATAGCGCCACTTCGGCTTTTTTCTTTTTGCTTATGTGGTGCTGGGGAATCGAGCCCAGGGCCTCAGTCGTGCAAGGCAAGCACTCTACCACTGAGCCACCTTCCCAGCCCTCATTTTTTTATTAAGTGGAAAATAATCTGCTCTGGTAGAACCCATCATGTAAGTCTAAAATACAAGGAGTTTTATTGGAAAAATCCTAGTGTACTGGAAAAATCTCTACATCGTTCTAGGGACCATAGACAACCACAATACAGAATCATAGTCAGTGAGTGGATATTCCCTGAGCTTTTAACTCATGGCCAAACAAAGAATTAACTCTTCAAATGACTTTTAAGGACATGATCTACAACAGAAAGATCAGGCTATTTATGTGAAACAAAAACTACCAATGAGAATTGTCTACAAAATATTCAGTACCTCATTCAGAACCTCAAGATTGACCAAGTCATCCTCAAGGCAGTACTTTTCAGCATCTTCCACACGATAGGGTCTTCTGGTGTGCATCCTCTCGTGCCTAGAAAGAGATGGAGAGAGCATAGCACACATAGAGTTAATACATGCAGAAGGTGGGCACTGAGAGCAGCTCTCTAGCCATCCTCTTACATGACACATTCCTAGACTTCAGAGAGTAAGAAAGAGCAAGACCAATCCAGATGTCCAAGCATCAAGAGGAGGTGAACTCTGTAGCTCAAGTTTCTCTTCTGCCACTGAGGAGAGTTGCCTCCTAAACTGCCCTATCACATATACTTGCTTTTCTTAAATTCTAACCACAGTATTTCCAGGAACTATGATCCTCAGATCACAGCTTCCTAAGTAGCTAGGATTACCAGCATAAGCCACAGGTACCTGATACTGTTATTATTTAATGTAGGATTGGAGGAAACCATTAGTTGAGACCTATACATCCTAGTGTTATAGTAATGTCAGTAATGTGGTGTGACAAACTCCCCAAATCTCTTATCAGCCAGCACACCATTTTTCTTGGTCTATGAAAAGAATCAGTCATTACTCACCTATCTCATAGATGGCTGTGAAAACACATATAGTCATGAATACAAAAATTCAATAATACTTTTCAAATGTCCCCCAAGTACTCTTACATCTTTGTTAAACTTGGAATCAATAACTTGAACAACTCCATAGCTTATGTAGAATGTCATTAATTAAACCAAATCATATGGGAAATGTCCTCCCATATAATGTAGAGGATCTGTAGAGAACCATCACTGCTGGCAACTTGTGTGTCCACCATTATCACAGAGGATGTCCCCGCCAATACTGTTCTCTCTAGCCAGGTTCCCGGGGCTGGCCGTTCCTGAATGCTTTCCTGGAAGTACCATGTAGAAGTCACGGAATGCTGAGGTCCATCCTACCCCATGCTACACAGATCTCACAGAAGTAGATCAAAAGGGAAAAGTAAACCCATCAGTTCTATAAACTGAGTCATGAACTTATAACCAATTGTCCTCCTTGCTCTAGTTTATTGCCCATTAAATAGACCTATAATTAGATCTACTACCTACTAAATCCATCTCCTAGTCTCCATAACTGATAACTTTGAAAAACAGATATTTAAAGCATGCATCTCCAATACTAGAACCAGTTTTGCTGCTAATTCATACGAAGATCAAAATCGAATATAGGTTAATTTTCTTTAATAAAATCAGGTTTATTACCTAAGCAGTTAAAAACTTATTAATCAGAACAATTCATGTCACATTGATGATGTCAAAAAGAAATCAAGTTGGCTGCCCATGGCTCACACCTGTAATCCAAACTACTTAAGAGGCTGAGACCTGAGGATAGCAATTCAAAGCCATGGGAAGGAAAGTACATTAGACTCATCTCCAATTAGACACCAAAAACACAGAAGTGGAGGTGTGGCTCAAGGAATAGAGTGCCAGCCCTGAGTGAAAAAGCTAAGGCACAGCACCCAGACCTTGAATTCAAGCCTCAGTACAAGTATACATACATACATACATACATACATGCATGCATACACACACACAGATATAAAATTAGTTTGAAAAACAAACTTTTGCTGTAACTGGAGCCACTGCACACTTCTAGCTTACCATTTCAGTAAATAAAACAGTAAGAGGGGGTGTATTAATGGCCTAAATCCTGTCCATATAATGCTAAGCAACTTTTTTTGCTTGAAGTTCAACATAAAGCAAAATAATCCCATAGTTTGAAATGAAAAAATAAAATGTTCATCATATTAAATTTAGCTAGTTTATCTCCTTCCTAAAGGCACCTTGCAACCATGTGAAATAAGCTGTTAAATTTTATTCTACACCTGATTTGACAAAGAAATTCAACAATTAAAAATTCATTCACAGCTCTGGTTCCAGATGGAATAAACATTGTTCATCCTCTACCTATGCACTGAATACAGTCAAATATCCTGGACAGAATGCAAGGAGCAGCTCTCTCAAGACAGACAGTGGTGACAGGCAGATGGAGGAAGGAAATCAGAATTCAAAATACCACTGAACCAACGGTGGGTTTTCCAGACGCGTTTTCCTCAGGTGTTCCTCACCTGGACTTGAAGCCAGTCTGATCCGCACACAAGGGAGGTCAAGCTTCAAGGATGCCATTTTTATAGCCAACTAAAACTAGAGGCACTGACAAAATAAAAACTTGCTTGCAATCTCATAAACAAATAGACTCTAGTGGAAAGTTGATTTTCAGAGTGAATGTATACAGTTCAATATCACCAGGATCCAAATTGGTATCTTCTGAGCCTACTGCAGATTGCCTGCCAGCTACGGTAATCTCCATGTCTATCTGCCTCACAAAGTTAACCTCCAAGACTCATGCAGATCCTGTCTGTAAAAGCTGAACTCAATTCTCATTTTTAAAAAATCTTCTCCAATGATATTATTTAAACCAAGTACAGCTTTTGATAGATTTTTATCTGCTGTTATTGGCAGTTTCCTTGCTTGTGGGCAGTTAAATCCTTTAGAGTTATTTACTTGCTCCCAAAATTGAAGTTGATATAGGCTTAAGATGCTTCTTCTCTGATAAAGACAATTTCACTTTCCCAACCCCCCCACTCATACACACACACACACACACACACACACACACACACACACACACACACACACTATTTTAATCTCTATATATATGCATAGGTATAGTCTATAAATGTACCAACTACATGTTAATCTCTGCACACATGCATCTGTACATGTATGTCTACGTGTGTAGCAATGTGTCTGTATCTGTGGCACTTTATTTCTAATTCAAATAGTATTCCTGTGAAACTTCTACCTGCTCCGTTTTCCTGCTTTACGTATAGCGGGGGCCTATTAAGAGATAAATGTTGATGAGGCACTGGTGAATCCCCCCTGTAGTCCCAGCTACTCAGGAGGCCTGTAGTTCAAAGCCAGCCTAGGCAAGAAAGTCAGTGAGACTCTTATCTCCAATAAACTACTCAACAAAAAGCCAGAGTGGAGGTGTGGCCCAAGTGGTAGAGAATTAGCCTTCAGTAAATAAGCACAGGGAACAGCACCCAGAATGGGTGGACACAAAAAAGAGAGACACAGTGAGAAAACCATTAATGAGTTAAAATTTTATACTAATAAAAGTCTTTTGTTGTTTTATATTTCCCTGTTTTTAATTGAAATTAGTGAAAATAAGTTTATTCTTTCCCAATTTCCTGAGTTAAAGGTGTGTCTCTAGGGAGGGGTACTGTAGCTCAGTAGCAAAGCACTTACCTAGAAGTGCAATGTCCTGGGTTCAATATCCAGAAAAGAAAAGAAAAATAATGAATAAAACAAGATGTGTCTCTAGGAGCTATAAGCTTAAGGTTGTTTTTTTAAAATTCACATGCTCCACCTAGTGCCTTACTTAAGAATCGCACTATTAGTGATTATTGCTGAAGAATTCTTGTGTGATGTGACTCCAACTAACAAGTACTTTTGAGTATTCCAAAGCTTAGGTAGATATAAATATGTATTCTATTAAATCAAGAGTATCTAGTAGCCATGCACCAGTGACTCACGCCCATAATATTAATTACTCAGAAGATTGGGATGTAGAGAATCAAGGTTCAGAGGCAGTCCAGGGCAGAAAAGTCTAAGAGATTCTATTTCCAAAGTAATCATCAAAAAGCCAGGCTGGGACATAGCTCAATCAATAGAACACTAACCAAGAAAGTAAGCTAAGAAAGAGTAAATGGTAAGGTACTAGACAGTTCAAATGGCTCAGCGGCATTCTCGGTTTCTAGGAAAGTCTGCATTGCCTTTTGTTAGATTTTCTACTTTTGAGGTGCTAAGCATATCAGTTGCCAAGACTGACTTCTCAGGCAAATGGAACTTGGGAGTTGAAACTCAGAGGGAAAATTCTGGTGTGAACTGGTACCCAGAATTTGAAATAAGTGCAGCATATGGGTGGGGTTCAGAGTAGGGTTGAAGAATAGGGTTCAAGAATAAGGAAATAGGAGGGGAGAGGAGTTTGTGTCTGATCTCCTGGCTCCAGCGAGGTGGCCATGAAGCAAGTCTGAAATATCAAGTTCAAAAACAGGTGAGGAGCAAAAATAAGATGTGAAGTGTGGTAGGACAGAGCCATGCGTGAAGGCTACCGGTCTCTGAGACAACACTGGATGTCAGTGGAGCAGACATGGGGAAGAGAAGTTTCCTGGACCATCTGGGGCTCAGACCAGCTGTGGGAAGAGGGCCTAAAAGGACACCAAACTGGTTCAAGCTATAGTTTAATCTCTCTGCCTGTTTGACAGTGAGACCATTTCCAGGTGAATGCTCCCTGGGCCTGCAAGATTATTTGAGGGGCTGGTCTTCTGAATGATTCTACTTAAAACTGACACCTGGTTCCCAAAGTACCCCCTCTCAGTCAGCTACCCGGGGAGCTGTATCCACATAGGTAGATACGAATGAGCTACAGGAGTGTCACACAAAAGAGAAGGATATGGTCTTCCCTCATTCCTCCCACTTATCAAGCAAAGTGACAGAAGGAAGCACTCTAAATCATTACTCAAGAATGGGAGGGAAAGCTGGGTGCTGGTGGCTCACGCCTGTAGTCGTAGCTACTCAGGAGACTGAGATCTAAGGATCGCCGTTCAAAGCCAGACCAGACAGGAAAGTTCATGACACTCTTAGTTCCAATGAACCACCAGAACAGTGGAAATGGTGCTATGGCTCAAAATGGTACAGTACTAGCTTTGAGTAAAAAAGCTCAGGGAAAGGGACTAGACCCTGAGTTCCCGCCCCATAACATGACCAATCAAAAAAGAAAACCATGAGAAGGAAACCAATCTCTTAGCCTAATACTTAGAGGCCACAGACTAGTGAGAGGGTACTGTGTGCCGACTTCTAGACCCTGTGGCAGAACTGTTGTGAAGGTTCCTCTCCTCCTCCTTCCCTCTACAGCCAGTTCAGAGCCCTCCCCTCCCAGAGGGATTAGATAATGACCAACTAATGCTCCTGCAAGATTGCAGATACACAAGGAAGTGACAGCTCCTGCAGCTGAAATATAGGAAGGGAGGAAATG